AAATGAGATAAATTTTGTAAAAATGCTTAGCACAGTGCTTGCTACATAGTAGGTGTTTAATAAATGCTTCTTCCAACCATCCAAAAGAATAATTTTTTGTTAAAGAATTTGAGTTTTGTTTATTCAATAAACATTTATTAACAGCTATTTCATAAAATACACTCTATTAGGTATTGGATGATACAAAGATAAAAAAGACATTGCCCCACCTTCACTTCCAATCCAGTTGAATCAATCAATAGTTAGTCAGTCAATAAAATTTGTTAGCAATCTGCTATGCAGGCAGTCTGTTAAGCACTGGGGATGCAAAGGTAAAAGGCAATCATTCTCAAGGAGCTCAGGGTGTAATGGGAAAGACAACATATAAACAACTATTTATAAATAAGCTATCCTTAGGATTAATTGGGGATAATCAATAAAGGAAGAAAAAACTTTAGGTACTTTTTTTTCCTTCTAGATCTTCCTACAAGTGCTGCTAATGCAGAATTTTTCCTTGCATGATTTGGTATATACTCAGAAAAGTTTATGATACGTGACGTTATGCATTGAGTTGGTTTTCAAATAAGGAAGGCAGGTTGAAATCTAGCCTTAGCTGCATTTCCTGCAGCATCCTACAAAATTAATTTAGCCAGTCTGAGATTAAGTTTCTTCATCTGTAAAATGAAGATAGTAATATAGTACCTACCTCGTAGTGTTGTGCAAGAATCCAATAAGAATCAAATTTATGGAAAATAAATGCTTTGCAAACCTGCAAGTACTGTGCGGTTTCCAGCTTCTTAGATTTTTATTTTCCTGTGAGACACACTGTTCTTGGCAAATACCTATTTAAACAAGATCATTGTAATTAATAAAAAGCCAGAAAAAAATTACATTCAGAGCAACACTATCAAGATAGGCAATGAGGACACACCTTAATGTTGCATCTCTGATCATTGGCTCCTGATTCACTGCCTGAGGAATTTTAAAGATTTTTACTTCTCATCAAGCTTTCTAAAGTAACTGTGCTTGAATAGTACTATATTTCTCAATATCCTTTGATCATCAAAAGAGTAAAAATTGTAGTGGAATGACCGAATTCATCATGGAATTTGACACAAGCTGGGGCCCTTCTGAACTACAGTCAAGGTGGTAGAATTATGTAAAATAAGGTAGAGAGCTCATTTATAAATCCCTCAGCATGAATTCACCTGGAACAGGAAGCTCTACTTTTCTACCTCAGATAATAGACACTGGAGATAGATATTTCCAACATGAAATATTTTAGCATTTACTAGATTGATGTGGAAGAAATGTTCAGTGCCCCTACATGAGAATTCTACACAGAATAGAAAGGGAAAGTGTCAAAAACATCTTATCTGACATGTATTCTCTAGCATGCTCTTGAATGTGGTTTCATTACTGATTGATATTTGTCCAATTACTGATTTCCTCCTTCCTCCATATCAGCCCATTCGCAGGCCTTTAGTAGAAGAACCATCCTTCACTGGTACACGCGCGCACACACACACACACACACACACACACACACACAGAAAAGAAAGAAAAACCACAAGACTTGAAGAGTTGAAAAACAGCCACTTAAATCTGTCATGATGAGGAAACCAAGGTTTGAAGGGGTGAAGTGATTTTCCCAAGGTTCCTTGAAGAAAAAGCGGGGCAGCGGGGAAATAACAGATTCTGAATTTGAACCCATGTCCTTTCCAACTTTTTCTACTGTACTTGTGTTGTATCTAGAGGGCAGTCAGAAAGAGGAGTCCATCACATTTAATAAACAAACATTTACTAAGCATTTCTGAGATGTAATACACTCTAATTGCAACTGAGGAAACTGAAAATTAAATAATGCATTATCCCTGTCCTTATGGAGCTGTCAGTCTAATCAAGTATTTATGGCACATAAATACCCAGAATGGTCATATAAACATAATGCATGGTTTCTAAGGGAAGAAAGGTCATTGCTGATAGGGGATAATCAAGAATGACTCCATAGAACAGATGGAAACTGAATTAGGCTTTAAACACCTACAATCCCATGAACGGGCCATGAACATTACATAAATGTTGGCTGTCATTCTCTACATTCTCTATTTGTTCTCCCTCATTTAAAAATTATATCGAGAATATTTGTTACATTCATTTCTTACCATTTTTTCTTTCCTAGGCTTTATTTTCTGTCTCACTACAAACCTCCCATGTTGCATTTTGTTGAATGTTTGGTGTTATCTCCAGTGCTTCATTTTTATTCGAGGTTTCTCTTTATCTCTAGGTTTGGTTGTTTTTTTTTTGTTTGTTTGTTTAGTTGATTTTTTGGGGAGTCCTTTCCCAAGTCCCATAGATTACTTCTTTCTCAGTTTCTTTTAGAGGGGGGATTTAGGAACCTCTCTTACTTCCTTTCTGGTATATTCTAGTCTTCTTCTAGGATCATGGGATTTTCAATTTACACCCTACAGATCACTTACTTACTTTACCATTCTCTCATTTTTGCCTTCCCAAAGTCCACTGCTCTAATGTTTAACTCATGAAAGTGGCAGCCAGTAGAACCAAGTCTGAATGGTACAGTTTTTGAACTGAATCAATTGCTCTAATGGGAGATAACAATGCATTCTGCATTCTATAATCCTGTACGTCAACTCTATTACCTAATAGCTATGAGTTTCTCAGTATTCCTTTTTTGACTCTATTTTTTCTGTGTACTCATCATTTTCTTAATAAATTTCTGTTTAATAATCAACCAAAAACATAGACTGATTTGGAGGGAAACCAATTTGAATTAGTGAAAACTCTGAATTTCATATTCTTTGTAGCGAGATTAGCCTTTAATATTTTCAAGTAGAAGCAATTTGGTGAAAGAGAAAGAGCATGAACCTTTGCTCATGCTTTTGTATGACTTTCATATTAGCTAAGAAGACAGGACAGATGTGTGGAAAGATACAGCATAATATAAGATATGAAGAAGTAGATTTTTCTTTTTATGTTTTTCTCCTGTGCCCTTCTTAGTCCTTCACCCCAAAGGAGAGACAGTGAGTTTCCATCAAGCTGTTTAATATGTAATGACCCACCAGATGCCTTAGTCTGGGGATAATATTTCAGGGGGTCTGTGAATTTAGGGGGGGAAACTGCATCTTTATTTTCACTACTATCTAGTTGAAATTTAGCATGTCTTTCAATTATGAATGTGAGCAACAAAATGTTATTCTGATAATAGCATTTAACATTCTGAGAATAACATATTCTGAAAGGTAGTCTATAGTCTTCACCAGACTGCCAGTGTGGTATATATCACACACACACACACACATACACACACACACACACACACACACAATAATAATAATGACCAGCATTTATGTAATATTTTAAGGCTTGCAAAATACAATTAGCTTATATATATTATCCTTACAACCTTGAAATATAAATACTATTATTAACCACATTTTGAGGGTAATAATGAGGACATTGATACTAAGAGAGATAAATTGACTTTCTCAGGGTCACACAGCTAGTGAGTGTCTGGGGTTAGATTTGAACTCAGGTCTTCTAGATTCCAGTTATAGCCCTCTATCCAAGACACCACCTAATAGCCTCATGAGGCCTGTTATAGTACATTAGCACCCTAAAAACCCATTCAGTGAAAGGTGGATTTGGACTTGTTATGCCTTTCTTTTCCCTCAACCCCAGTCATTTTGTGAGTAGGAAGGTAAGAAATGAGAGCAGGCAAAAGGGCTGTGTGGCCTCTTTTTGTCCTGTTCTCCTTCCCTTCTTTCTCTAGAAGATAGCATGAGAGAGTATTAAAAGAAAGAGGGTGTCTATGCCTAGTTGAACTTGACCTTTTTATGTTTCCTATACCTTTCTTTGCTTGATATAGTTTTCCTCCTTAATTACTTAGTGAAAAACACACATACATACACAAAGAACACACACATATAAACATATATATTTTTCCTAAAATTCTACTGCATCTTCTTTGGATTAAGGGTTAGTTTAGCAAAGAAAGAGTTTTATTCCTACCTGGACCTGGGGAACTAGGGAATTTGGATACCTAGAAGCCAGGAAGAAGTGAGAACTGAGGAGCAACCCTCTGAGTCACCATCCCATAAATGTAAATCATGATAAATCTCAAATAATCATGATAATAAAAATAATGTCTAGCATTTTAAGGTTTGTAAAGTGCTATGCCCATTTCATTTGATGAGTAGCTTAGGTAATATGTACTGTAAGAATTAAGAGTACACAGTTATTACTAAGACATTACTGTAGGGGCATATATCACGGGGTAGTGGGAATTCTAATAAGTAAGAGTTGGTCTTTGACCATCAGGGAGGAGAAAGAAGGATAATTTTGGCAAGGGAGCTGCATGAGTAAGTGAGTATGTGTAGTAGAAGGAACTCACATGTTTTTTGTTGTTCATTAGTTTCAGTTATGTCCAATTCTTTGTGACCCCTTTTAGGTTTTCTTGACAAAGATATTGGAATGGTTTGCCATTCCTTTCTTCAGCTCATTTTACAGATGAGGAAACTGAGGTAAACAGGGTTAAATAACTTACCCAGGGTTACACAGCTAGTAAATGTCTGACGCCAGATTTGAACTGAGGAAGATGAGTCTTCCTGACTTCAGGCCCAGCATTCTATCCTCTGCATCACCTCACTGCCCAAAATCACACATTCCATTCTGGAAAATCATTTGGCCAAAACTGGAGAAGATTTGTGTAACTCATAATCACTTTGACAGTGATTGTTTCAGACTCAAATTGTTTTTGTTTTTAACAGAATTAGATAATCATAAATTTTTAGCCAGAAGGGACCTTATGATCACCTAGTTCAACACTTCTTTGGCCCTCAGTTTTCTCATCTAAAAGAAGTGTTGAACTGGGTGCTGAGCTGGGACTGGAATTCAGGTCTCCCAAGTTCCTTCTCTGTTCACCCTCTATTATGGAGCACATCTAGGATTGCTGTCTCATACTTACTTGGATGACTTATTTTTCTATGCTTTTTGCTTCCCAGCTGGAGTTATGATGATTCCTCAGAGAAAGACCGTAGATGGATTTGAAGAACATTTTGGCGTGAACTACTTGGGACACTTCTTATTGACAAATCTCCTCTTGGATATTCTCAAGAAGACAGGCTCTCCTAACCACAATGCAAGAGTTGTAACAGTGTCCTCAGGCACTCATTATGTAGGAGAACTGAACATGGATGATTTACAAAGCAGGTATTGTTTACATACTCTTCTAGCTTAATCAATGGTAGCCAGCATAAGTAGTTGACTATTGAGAATCATCAGTCAATATTTATTGAATATTTTAGGAACTATGAGAATTTTGAAGGAAGTCATAGATATGTATACTTTAGGCAACCTGCATTTTATTGGAGAGTAAAGGAAAAACACTGGTGCATGATGTTTAATTAGGATCATCAAAAACATGTATGCATACTTCACTCTGCTGCATAGAAATGCTGTTTAACTTCAGCCTGAATTTCAGTAATCCTTTTCTTACTTCTGTAGTTGAAGTCCTCTCGGAGTCATCAAGGATCTCCTAACTCCAAATCCGATAGTATTTTCTCAGTCTTTGTATTACTTGACCCCTAAATTTAAGCTTCATGAAGGCAGGGACTTTTCTTTTTTCCCTCTTTTCGTATTTAGAGCATAACACAGTGCAAAGGGAAAGGGACAAAGAAAACATGTGTATATGTGTATTTGTGTATGTGTGGATGGATGTGGATACATGTGTATTCATATGTATATGTATGAAGATACAGACACATACAAAAAAAATCATTTCCCTATTGCAAGTCTACGAACAAACAATTTGCAAATAACCATAGTAATAATAATGTCAAATTATTAACCTTAGGAAAGAAGTTCCAACTCACTAATAATAACAGAAAGGCAAATCAAACCAACCCTGTCATATTACCTCAGGTCCAGAAAACTTTCAGAGCTGAAAAAAAGACATTCAATTTACAGTAAAGCGTTTGTGGGGTAATAGGTACACTAGTGTATAATTGCTGTAGGTATAAATCAGTACAAATATTTTGGAAATAAAATTGGGATTAAGCAAATGGTTACTAAAATGTTCATACCTTTGGGTCAGAAATTACACTACTGGAAGTCACTATATACATCAAAATATCTAAATAGCACTTTTGTGGTAGTGAGTAACTGAAAACAAAATTGTATTTTCATTCACAAATTCCACATGAAGAAACACACTTTTGGGGTCGAGAGAGGAATGTACTGGAAGAAGGAGAGAAGGGAGAAGAATAATGGGGAAAATTATTGCTCGTAAAAAATGTTGTTTATAAGAATCACACCTGAAACAGAAAGACACACACACATAGTTTAAGTAAGGTGCTAGAAGTAGAATCCATTATGCTTCAACTGGAGAAAAAAAAATAAAAAAGCAATCATAATCTCAGACAAAGCAAAATCAAAATTAGACCTAATTAAAAGAGATAATCATGGAAACTACATTTTACTAAAAGGAACCATAGACAGTGACATAATATCAAAAAATTTTACAGGAAGTTTTTCTAACTAATGCCTCTTTTCTCAAATATATGGGGAACTGGGTCAAATTTATAAAAATAAGAATCATTCCTCATTTGATAATGATGAAAGGATATGAATAGGCAGTTTCCAGAAGAAGAAATCAAAGCTATCTATAGTCATATGAAAAAATGCTCTAAATCATTATTGAGTAGAGAAATGCAAATTGAAACAACTCCGAGATAACACCTCATACCTATCAGAAATGACAAATGTTGGAGGGGAAGAGAGAAAATAGTTACACAAATGAATTGTTGATGAAGTTAAGAACTGGTCAAACCATTCTGTAAAACAATTTAGAACTATGCCCAAAGGTGTATAAACTTGTGCATACCCTTTGACTCAGCAATAACAGTAGGTCTCTACCCCAAAAAGATAAAATAAAAAGATAGGGACCTTTATGTACAAAAATACTTATAGCAAGTCTTTTTGTGGTGACACAAGACAGAGAACTGGTGAACTCTGAGTGCAAATTGGAGTATAATTTTCTCACTTCCTTTACTTTTCATGCTTTTTGGTGATATGGCTAATATTCAGATATGTTTTGCATGATTTCACCAGGATAATTGATATCATATTGCTTATCTTCTAAGTGGGTGGGTGATTGGCAAGAGGGAGGAGAGAATTTAGAACTCAATTTTTTAAAAAATGTTAAAAATAAATAAATAATACATTTGAAAACAAGCAGGCTAAAAAGAAACTCCCTTTTACAGTGATTTCTCACTGCCAGTAGAGAGAGGTTGAGTACTTTGCCCAATGTCACAAAACTAGTATGAGTCAGAGGCAAAACTTGTACTGAGATCATCTTGCTAGGTAGGTAAATAAATAAGAAGTGTTTATTAAGATGTGTAAAGTTACACATAAAATAAAAAAGACAACCCTGGCCCTCAATGAGCTTGTATTCTACTAGGAAAAGATAATACATAAAGGGATGCCTGGGGGGGAAGGAGAGATAAAGGATTCCTGGTTGAGGTCATGATAGAAAAGTCCTTAGAGTCAGAATCAGAGCCAGAAGGGGAGTGAAGCATGGCCTGTTTGGATCCATTCCCCAAATGGAGGCTCTGAAGTGAACTGACCAATGGGAGCTGGCATGTTACAAGGATATTGCAGAGTGAAAAGCCCCCAGATGATAAGGGAGGGTCCAGGATGAACAGGCAGTTGAGTCGTGGTTGTTATTGTTTGGTCATTTAAGTAATGTCTGAGTCTTTGTGACCCCATTTGGGGTTTTTCTTGCCAAATATACTGGAGTGGTTTGCCATTTCCTTCTCCAGCTCATTTTGCAGATGAGGAAACTGAGACAAGCAAGATTAAATGACTTGCCCAGGGTCACATAGCAAATAAGTATCTGAGGCCAGATTTGAACCCAGGAAGGTGAGTCTTCCTGACTCTAAACCTAGTGCTCTATCCATTGCACCAACCCAACTGCCTCAATGTCCTTAGAGTCAGAAGCACAACCTGGAGGTGAATGCAACCCTTGGCTTTGAAGCCTACTTTTTAGCTGCCTCCCTGTCTTGGTAAATGACAGGTGCTTAATAATATTTTTTAATTAAATTGAATTGTACTTCAAATTATTGACCACTTTCTCCTTGAAAATTTTAATATTTGGCTTTCTTGATTCTATATTGTCATGGTTCTCCTCTTACCTCTCTCATTACTTTTTCTTTTTTTTTTTTTCCATTCTTGTCCTTGCTTCCTCATCCTCCTGAGACTATTATCTATTATTGTTTATGGTTATCTTTTATTTTGTCTTTATATTATTTTTCTAGTAATGATTTTATCTCTTCCCACAGCCTTAACTATGCAAAATCTCCAAAATCCATAGCTCTAATCTTTGTTTCTTTTGAGTTCTAGGCCCTTATCTCTATCTTCCTGTCTTCCTGGTACATCAAAAATTATCTCCATCCTCAAACTGCTTCCCATCCTATATTCTCTTTCTTTGATGAAGGCTTCATTGTCCAAACAATCATCTAGATTCAAAACCACATCAGAGTTTACCTGGGGGGAGAATTCCCAAAGTCTCTAGAGAAAAGGGCATTATTGAGGTGCTGACTCCTCCACATGTTACATTCTTTCCTAGACCATTCTTTCTTTTCAAGGCCTTGAAAAGAGTTTGGAATCACTTGTTTTCCTCTTCTAAAACTAGAAACTAGAGGACCAAGGTTTCTCTTCTCTCCCAAATTCTGCTTCTCACACAGGCACAGAGCATTGAGTGATTGGTCTCTACCATATGCAATATTCCACAACCATAGTCCCTCACATCTCCAAAGTCTTACCCTTTAAGATTACCTTAGAAGGCCAAGGTTGGTTTTTGCCTTTGTTTGTACCACCAACTCTTAGTGCCTCCTAAGTACATACTGCTTAATAAATGTTAGTCGATTGATTTCTCATTAAAAAAATATAGCATCATTTTCAGGTCTTCCTTCTTCCTCCCTACTAAATCAATTAGTCATTAAGTCTTATCAATTCTACCTTCACAGTTCTATAGAATTCAGTGTGTCATTTCCATCCTACTGGCATCATTCTAGCTTAAGCCCACATTAGCTAGAATATTGCATTTAACCTATAACTCACCCTGACTTAAGTCAGTTTTTCCTCCATTTCCATCTTCCCATTCAATTCCAGAGGGAAAATTCAGTTCAGTAAGTATATATTTAGCATCTAATAGGCACAGAGCAAAGCATGGTATCAGAATAATCTTTCAAAAGCAAAGCTCCCATCATTTCGTCCCTCCCCTCATGAAGTTTCAGTTCTTCCCTAATACCTTCTGAATAAATTCTAAACTCCTTATCCTGGCATTCTAGGCCATTTGTGCTTTGTCTTCAGCTTTCCCTTCCAAGCTCATCTTCTGTTACTCCCTCCTTCAACTTCATTCAGCTTATATTTCAGACAAAGTTGACTGGTTGATGTTCCCCTAATATGCCTTATGCGTCTTTGTAGCTCCCTAGAGGGAAGTAATCTTTCTCCTTTATACTCTCATAAAACTTTGTTCTTTATAAATTCTATATACTATATTATTTTTTTCTGTTATTTCTTATCATACATATTATGGTGAAGGCACTTTGAGGAGTTGGACCTAAACTTATTTATTCTTGTATTCCCTACATTGCCTACTAATAGGACCTTACATTATAGGGCATTCAGTTCAACAACAACAACAGCAAAAAAAAAAAAATTTAAAGCACCTGATATATATACTAGGCACTATTCTGGATTCTGGGGATACAAAGACAAAAATTAATTAATCAGTAAACACCTACTATATGTCAGACACTTTGTTAAGTGCTGGGGCAAAAAAAAGAAAAGAGGCAAAAGATAGCCTCTGCCCTCAAGGAGCTTACAATCTAATGGAGGAGACAATGTGCAAATAAATATATACAAAGTAAATTATATCAATCAGTCAGAATTTATTAAATGCCTACTATGTGCCAGGCACTGTACTAAACACTGGTGATACAAAAAGAGGCAAAAGACACTGTCTTCCCTCAAGGAAGTGCAAAACATATACAAAGTAATGAAAAATAATTTGAAAAGGGAGGAAGTGCTAATAATAATTATTGAGTTAAATTGAACAGATCATTAATTCCTATTGTAAGATACTCATTCACTTAAAGATTCAGAGAATGTTTTACATTTTTGTGTATGATTTGTGTTTTTGTCTACAA